TCAATCCTTTACTTTTATATACATATATATATATATATATATATATATATATATATATATATATATAATTTCTTATCGTATAAGTCTGTATAGATTTATTTATTTATTTATTCATTTAGATAGTGTTATACCATAATACCTATTCTAGACTCTCCCACAGATAATAAGTAGTAGTAGCGGTCGCCAGTTGGGCTCAGTGGTGTTGAGCGAGTCAGTCGATATCGGACATTGAAGTACCAACCATCACAACTAGATTGTTGCGTCATTAACTCTTATTTCAAGTTCTGGACGTCGAACCTAATTTAGGACGACTTATTGAAATACAAGCCTCCACTGAAAACTACTCTACAACAGATAGATAGATAGATAGATAGATAGATAGATAGATAGATAGATAGATAGATAGATAGAATTATAGGGCAGGCTATAACTTTTAAGAAAAGAAAGCAACTGCTTGAAAAACAAATAACAAAAATAATGAATAATGTAAGGCATTTTGTCACTATGTTTTAAATGCCAAATGTATAATGATTTTGTAATACCACCATTAGATTTAAGGATGCGTAAGATGAAAATTAAGAAAGAGCGTTTTAAAAAAAAACAACACACAAAGATCAATCGGAAGAGCCATGACAAAGAAGATTGTCAGAGAGAGAAAAGCTTTCATCATGGATCGGAAATATGTGATAGAAGTTAAGCGACAGAAATGGAGATGGGTGGACGAAGAAAGGGTAACAGATGGAGCAAAAGGTTGATTGATTGGTGTCCAATGGATAGCAAACTCAAAAGGAAAAGAGCATACAGAAGACGGGGAGGTGAGATAGGATGAGGCGTTGAAAATTCATGTCCTAACCTACTTTCTATAATCTGATCAAATGACACAACGTGATTTTTTTTTAAATATTGCAGTGAATAGAAGTCATAGTTTTCCTGAAAGTAGCTGGAAAAGCTTTTTGCCTTGCATTCTATTTGCAATGACTGACGTTTATATATATATATATATATATATATATATATATATATATATATATATATAGTGTAACCTGACGATCCGTGTAGGTGAAACCTAGGTAGGTTTACCTGGCTGTTTAGGTTTTATATTATATATATTCCAGGTTTATATTATATACATTCCAATATTCGCTTGAAGATGAAATGAAACTAATGCTTTTAATTTAATTACAAAATTAAATTTGAAGTTTCTAGCTTCCATTTTTAAACATAGTTATTACTGTGTAGTGAAAAACATTTTAAATCAGTGATTTTATAATATTATATATATATATATATATATATATATATATATATATATAAAGAGAGAGAGAGAGAGAGAGAGAGAGAGAGAGAGAGAGAGAGAGAGACATACGAAAAAACTATTCATATCCGACGCGTTACGTGCTCGGAAAGATTGACTCAAGGAAATGTCGGCTAAAAATACTTCTTCCTCTTGTCAATTTTATTTCATTTTGTTTCTTCACAGATACATATTATATGAAAACAATATATATATATATATATATATATATATATATATATATATATATATATATTTAATTTTTGGGGACTTAGGTAAATCATTATAGCAATTCATCGAGTCTAGAAAAATCATCACAATGCAGAAAACATTGGACGGCCTAATGAACGACGGAATTTGTCAGTAGCGGCGCTATATCGAATCTATTCAGATTCTTCTTCGTCACAGAGGCCCGTTGGTACAGTTGGTATGACGCTTGCGGTTTGCATTCGAATCTCGGTAGTGGATGCGCATTTCTGATGACTCCCAAAAAATAGGACGAAACGGCCGTCTTCTGCATTCTGTTGAGGATTTTTCTAGACTCGATGAATTGCTATAATGATTTGCCTACGTCCCCAATATTATATACATATGTAAGGGAGTGATCCATCCAGAGAAAAGTGCATATTTTTAAAAAGAAGAGAGAAACCGCAATCCTTTTTGGTTATAATGTGGATTATACTTTATTTCCCATATTTTTGCTACACGGATTTCCAGTCTCGCGACCTTCATCAGACAAAGAGTGTTTTTTTTCCCGCATATTGTTAAAAAGAATTAATTATCCTTATATTTTCTGATGTTTAATAATTGTCTTTTGTGTGTAGTAGTAATCAGAATTTTCTTGGACAATGTAGTGAGAGTATTCTTCTACTTCATGGGTAATAAAACCACTAGGATTGGTCAGAGAAAGGGCGAAGGAAGGAGGTCATTGTTCTTATCCTTTTATGACTTTTGGATCTACTTAGACCTATCTCCATTTTTGTGCATTCTGTGTGCGTGTATGTTTTTGTTAGGATATGTTTCATGATAGGCGCAATCGTCAGTCCACGAGTGTGCACTTGCGGCCTGACGATTGCGTCAAGCATGAAACAGCCTGTCACCTCTAAGTGTTGACTTCAATGTTCACTTTTATATTTACATATGCTCTATCTCTGATATTCAGCAGTTTATCTCATAAATATAGTACACCTTAAAACTATATTTCTTCATATATATATATATATATATATATATATATATATATATATATATATAAAAGTAAACATTAAAGTCAATACTTAGAGTCGACAGTCTGTTTCATGCTAGACACAATCGTCAGGCAACGAGTGCCATTTATTTTTTCTCGGCTATTTATATATACGGGTCAGTGGTGCATTGTGGATAGTCTATTTTGGCGGTTATTTTGCCGGAAGTCGTTTATTTCTTTATTTGGGTGAAATTATTTTGCTCGTCTTTATTTGTTTTTATTTTGTTTTATTTTTTTATTTTTTATTTTTACTCCTTATCTTATAAATTTATTTTTTATTAACGTAGTAAAAATTGTTTATATCGCTTATTTAATAGTTTTGTTTTAGTTTGGGAAGATAATTAAAGCTAATTATTCAATTTTGAGGGTTATTGTAGTAGTTTATTTTAACTATTATTTCGGCGGGAGCAGTTTTTAAATTGTTTATTACTTCATGTATTTAATTGGATTGATTATCTCTATTTGTTTTTTCTAACGGTTAATTTATCGGGAACGGTTTGTTAGTTTATTTATTTGGATTAATTTATATTCATTTATTTTACTTGTTTTTTATTATTTATTTATTATACTGTATATTTTCATTTACTCTTTTCGGTTTTCGATTTTTAAGTAACGTAGTATATTTTTTAAACGAAGGATTGCTGCCTAAACATACAACTATATATATATATATATATATATATATATATATATATATATATATATATATATATAGTTGTATATTTAGGAAGAAATCCTTCCTTTATGCATGTTTCATTGAAAACGACTGACAAGGTACTACGATTAAGTTTTTTATTTAATTTTTCTTGTGTTCGAACAAGAGCTTTCTTTTCTGAACAAATAGTGTGTAACTAACTGTTCAAATGTTTTATAGTTGCGAGCACTTTCGGCTATACCTTTAGCCATTATCAAGTATGATTCAATTTTTCAGCTTAATTGAGTGTGTGCATTATGACTATGTTTTAGTGAGTTGTAGAGATGTTTTTAATTTCCGAATACGGTTAGCATATCGTGGCCTTGTTCGTAGTTAATATTGTTAAGAGTTGTTTTTGTTATTATTAAAGCTTCCGTTATTTTTAATCTTTTTTATAGGAGGATGGAGTTATTATATTTCTGTTTTCTACTAGTATGTTTCTAATGGAGTCTGGTAAGTTTGTGTGTGTGTTTAAATGGGTTCTAATGGAGCTGTGATCAGATAGGTGTAACGTATACACACATATATACACACATACCTCCTATGTTTTGTAGGGTTTCATGTGTGTGCTTGTGGGTAATCTATTGTGTTTGTTTTAGCCAGTATATATATATATATATATATATATATATATATATATATTGTTCTCCATATGTGTGTGTGTGTGTGTGTGTGTGCGCGCGCGCACGCGTGTGTCTGTGGTACGACCAGTGTATTTGGCCATTATGTGTGTCTGCTGTGTGTTTATGGATGTGGGTTATGATTTATTTAGTGCTAGTTAAAATTTGTTTAAGAATTTTTTTTGCTGTATTTTTAGATAAGAATAATTGTCTGTTCGATATATTGGCATAATTTTGAATTTACCTTGATTACATTTGTAGATGTGTTATGATACAAAGAGTTTAATTTGATGTTGCTTTTGTGAAGGGAAACTTTAGTGTTTGGCTAATACCTATATAGGACTTTTGTGCACTTGAGTGCATCAATCACATTTTTGGAATTGCAGCTTAAATTTTTGTTTATTGTGAATGTCGTTGTTGAGTTTTCAAAAGTGTAGGAGTTTCTTTCTATAATGATGTCACAAATCCCACATAATTTTTTTTTTTTTTTTTTTTTTTTTGCATTTTGTGACTCCCTGTATTGTGTGTTTGCTAAATTTGGATGATTTTAATTTGTGTTTTAAGTTTTTTGATTGGCGTTTGCTTTGACGTGTGTAACGGATATTGGGAACAAGAGCCCACAAAAATTTATTTTATCTTATTTATTACTAGTTGACGTACACGGTAATTCCCGGAAAGAAACGGATAGCACGAAAGGTTGTTATTCCACAGACGACAACAACAACAACAACCACAACCAGGAAATACCTTTTTAAGGGATGGTTGAAATATGAGCTTAGATAAAGTTTATATTCGCAAATAAGCTGAATTTAAATGTTATTTTACGTTTAAATAGCCGAATGGATCGAGATAATTTCTTTGTATTTAATGAATTCGGACCTGACGAATTTAATGATGCACATGGTGTAATTTGAAACGAATTAATTTCTTATTAAATTAAATGATAAACACAGTGAACCATGTGCGTAAGACTCGGCGGCATGCTGCTATCTAGGGGCCCTAGCGGTCCCAACATTGTGTTTTATTTTTTTTAAATTAGTTTAGTAACAAACTGGATGTTAGTTTAACATGTATGCAAAGTTTCATGATTATTTGATTGGGAAACGATTAAATGATATACCTGCGGACGCTTTTGGCGCAGTTTTCATGCGCGCACAGAACTCAAATTTGGTCGCTTTCGCAGTGGCATCGCGAACTTGTAGTTCGTCGATTATGTCATTTCTGTTCTTCCGTATGATAGATTCCCCTGACGTAAGCTGTCAATACATCGATGAATACGTCATTTACCCCTCAAAATGACAACTATCAGTCGGGGAATCAAAGGAATATCAAAATCACTCCCATTTCAAGGAAAAGTCTTCGGCTTGTGTGTTTGCTCTTTTCTTCGCACTTACCATGAAATTTGTACCAATTCAAAGAATTATTATCACCCTCTTTACATTTTGTATTTAGTTAAAGTTTTTGAGGACATTCGATCAGATTTTTTTTTAATGGGAGGCAATTACAGATTTCTTTTTTTCTTCCTATCAGCCAGATCATGTCACCTGTGCAAATTCGAACAAACATCTATATCTGTCGGATATTTTACGATTTATAAAAGTATTATTTTGATCCCTATATTAATTTAATATAGGTGTACTTGTATAACTATGGTAACGAACAGTCAGCTAAGAAGAAAGACTATGCAGGGTGTCAAATAAGGGTTATTTTAACGAAACGACCTTTGATTCGCCAAGATATCGTGCGGACGTAGTAGAATAACAAACCACTTGGATTTTTAAGGCCAATTAAGAAGAAATAAATAATTTATTTCTGGACTCGATTTTGTTACGAAAAAGTGTATAAAAACTTACGAATTCCGGTGCCAAACAGGATTTGCACAGCCGTCACCAAGTTTCACTCCACTCTCGCTTATGATCTTCACGACCTCATGCTAAAAGCGACAGCGTTGACAAACTTCAGACTACGGCAATACCGCAAACAGTAAGAAACAATTTCTAACGATCTCTTGTATCCTCTTTACTATGAACCACGCGCACACGTGTTGACTTTTTCATACAAATACGCATATAATAACATTTCATTGTTTCTCACATACGTTCACAAAGACAATTTATATTTTATTTCAGATCTTTATCAATCCAAACAAAAAAGACATTACTTTCCAATCTATGACCAACTGCTTGTATTCTTGTCGTTATATTAAATTAATGTTCATTTTTTGAAACTACGTTGTCTTTTCTACTGAATTTTATTCTTTCAATGAAAATCGTGTGATTATTTTAAACGGCCGAATTACGAGCAACACCACAACAATGTTATTGTATCAAACCTCGACACTCCGAATTTTGACATTCAACGAAAAACCTAGTAGGATTGCTACAAATGGTGACCCTGACAAACGTATCTACTATATATATATATATATATATATATATATATATATATATATATATATATATATATATATATATATATATATATATATATATTGCAAGGAATAAATACAATTATTTCTTAATGGCATTATGAAAAATGAAATAAAAAAATAAGAGATGATGACACTTTCAAAACAGACCAACCGGTTTCGTTCCCAAGCTCATCAGGGTCGACTGGGAACAATTTCAAAATTATTGCAATATAAATTGACTCACTCACAAATCCTACATACAATTAAAACTTTAAAAATGAAAAGATTAATGGTATGAGGGGAAAAAAAAAATATATATATGTATATATATATATATTTTTTATTTTAGACCGTGCGAATATGCACAGTGAAAAGGGGGGAAAAATTTATAACAGCGAGTGTGAGGGGAAATTATGATAGACACTAGAGTGTAATAACGTGAAACGCGAGGAGACAGTCTCTTTGCTTGCACAGAGACGGCTCCCTGGACCGAATATACAGAGACTCTAGTGCTCTCAAATGGAATGGAGAGTGCGAACTGGACAGTACGGTAAACCAATTCGGACTAAAATTCTTCGCACAATATATATATATATATAGAGAGAGAGAGAGAGAGAGAGTGGGGGAGAAATCGATGCTGTCGATAACTTATATTCATAGATTAAACGTGGTATGAAAACTATATTAAGTGAATGATACATTCTTTTGCTAAGGTACGAAAAGATTAAGTAATAACTTCATATTTTTGCTAGTTTTTTTTTTTTCCGAAAGCCGTGTCCTGACAGGTGTTAGGCTAGCCTGACTTTTCAGAAATCCATTTTCTTTATTATCTGTGAAATGCCATGCCTTCTTGTCAAAAGATAGTGGATTTCATGTTGCTTTCTCCACGGTCACCATCTCTTAGACTCCCTGCCACCTAGGAATAGAGATCGCTGTTTATCTCAATGCTGGTGGAGTAAAGCGCTGTATTCATGTTTTTTCTCGAGGGTATTAGCGACAAAGCGAACTTTAGGCCAGGATTTGAACTCGAGTTCCCCGTCTTCTTTTTCTATGCCGATAATCATTATACTACCTGCACATATTTTAAAGCCTAAAAATATTCCAGAAATTGTAAATTTTTATTATTTGAATAGCAACTATGATAGTAGGTGATGGATGCGTTCTTTTGCTGCCCAGAAACAATATAAAATGTTAGAGAGACAAAAGAGATTAGCTAAAGAATGCAACGCCAACTCTTGTCCGATTCCATTTTGGGCTCGTGACACGTTATTGCATATTTCTACTATAATACGAAATCAAACTGTCTTTCCGGTGTCATTACGAAAAGTTACAGTTTTTTCGATTTATTACTGTTAGTTTTTTCCCGCTTATTTTTATTTATTTATTTATTTTTTTGTTTAATTTGGCGGTTATAGATTCTTCTGAACGACCGTTTTTGTCATTTTTACTTCATTGTCATTTTCTCCCTCTCATTGATTTTCTCTCTCTCTCCCTCTCTATCTTCGTTGATTTCAGTTTATCCTCCTCCTCCTCCTCCTCCTCCTCCTCCTCCTCTTCTTCTTCTTCTTCTTCTTCTTCTTCGTGATCTTTTCTTTCTTCATTTTCTTTTTCCCTCCCTTATCTCTCTATCTTTCCTCTCTTTTCTCGGTTTATTTCATTCATCTTCCATATACACTTGTATTTTTTCTTTCCTTTCTCATTCTCTCTTTCTCTTTGATAAACGCTCATCTTCGTCATCAATTTTCTTTTCTTTCTTCTTTCATTGTTCCTTTCTTTTTTACTTTTCTTTCTCGGCGGTTTTTTTTTCTCCCGGCTTCTGTCACGTTTTCTTCTGCAAAATCCTTTCATTCTTTTTCGCATTCTTCATTTTTTTTTTCTTCCTTGACTTCTCTCTGAAAGTCGCTTCACCTTTTTTTCCTCTCTCTCCTTTTTCTCCTATTTTACATATACCACGCCAATGACTGCATTGTAATCGCGAGGCGCCCTACTTCCGCTCAATTTACTGTCGTACATTCGTTTCTCTTCTTTCTTTGACGGCGACGTCATCTTCGACGAGACCGACGACAATCGTATCTTCTTCTTCTTCTTCTTCTTCTTCTTCTACTTCTTCTTCTTCTTCTTTTACTACCACTACTGCTAGACTTGTGATCGTTACTTTCTTTCCTTCCTTATCTTTGAAGAGTTTCTTACACATTTTGTAATTTTGCATTTTTGTCATTCTTTTACTCGTTTACGTTTTCTTCTCAGAAAAATGCTTGAAATATTTTACGCCTTACAGAAGAGTACATTCTAAAATACCTGGGTTCAAATTCAAAGATGAACTGAACTTATGAAATACAACAATACGAATACAAAAACAAAAGAGGGAAAAAAAGGAATAAGAAACTAAAGAGAGAATGGGAAAGAAAGAAAGAAAGAAAGAAAAGAAAAAAGAAAGAAAGAAAGAAAGAAAGAAAGAAAGAAAGAAAGAAATGAATAGGGGCAATAAAGAAAGAAAGAAAGAAAGAAATGAATAGGGGCAATAAAGAAAGAAAGAAAGAAAGAAAGAAAGAAAGAAAGAAAGAAAGAAAGAAAGAAAGACGAACAGGAGTAGTAAAGAAAGAAAGAAAAAAGAAAGAAAGAAAGAAAGAAAAAAATAAACAGATGAATAGAGGTTGTAAAGAAAAGAAAGAAAGAAAGAAAGAAAGAAAGAAAGAAAGAAAGAGACGAACAGAAGTAGTAAAGAAAGAAAGAAAGAAAGAAAGAAACAGATGAATAGAGGTTGTAAAGAAAGAAAGAAAGAAAGAAAGAAAGAAAGAAAGAAAGAAAGAAAGAAAGAAAGAAAGAGACGAACAGAAGTAGTAAAGAAAGAAAGAAACAGATGAATAGAGGTTGTAAAGAAAGAAAGAAAGAAAGAAAGAAAGAAAGAAAGAAAGAAAGAAAGAAAGAAAGAAAGAAAGGAATGAATAGGGTTAGTAAAGGAAGGAAGAGAGGAAGTAATGTAATATAGAAAGGAATAAGAGACTGAATAAAGGAAGAAAAAGAAATATAGAAAGAAATAGTGGATTGAATATAGAAAAAAAGGAAGAAAAAATAACGAAGGGTTGGAATAATAAAGAAAGAAAAAAAGGAATATAATATTGTAAAGAATTTGCATTGAAAGAATTAAAGAAAATATAATTTAGAAAGGAATAGGGAACTGAAGTAGAAGAGAAACAATATAGAAAGGCATAAAGGGCTGAAAAAAGAAAGAAAGAAAGAAAGAAAGAAAGAAAGAGATATAAAGATATATAGAGAAAGAAATATATATAATATATAAAAATGAATAAGGGGCTGAAGAAAAAAGAAAGAAAGAAAGAAAGAAAGAAAGAAAGAAATGAATAGGGGACGAAAGAAAGAAAGAAAGTAATTAAGGGAAATGATGCGTAGAAAGGAATAAAACTGAAAAACGAAAAATAAATGTCATATATAAATGGAGAAAGAAAGGCAACAAAAAATTAACAGAGAAATAAAGAAAATAAAAGAATAAGTGACTGAAGAAAGAAAAAATATTATTTTAAAGGAATAATCGACAAAAAAAAGAAAGAAAAAGAATTTCTGAAATGAATAAGGGACTGATAAAAGCACAAGGACAAGAAGTTCTTCAGTAATAAATGAGAGACTAGTGAAAGAAAAAGAAAAGTGATGTATGAGAAGTATAAAAAAGGAAAAGAAATATACAGAAAGAACGAGTGCCCTAAATGAATGTTATCTGGAA